ATTATGTATAACACTACACGTATAAAAATTATAAGAGCATTATAAACGACTAATCACACCCCCTTTCCACGCAAATTGTAAGATCACGCAGCGGCAGGTATGCACATTCAAAAACAAAGAAAGAAATATTTAAAAATAGTTTTTTTTTAACAGCATAAGGCTTTTGTCAGAATGAGCATATATGTTTGTTGCTCTTAGAGTGAGTATGTATCTATTAAAAACTCCAAAGGTCTTGTAATTAAATCCCTGCATGTGGTTAAATGATGCATCTATTGTGAATGTACACAGGCCCATTCAACGTACAACATTTTTAAAATACTCAGTCTCGTAATCTGGTAAAGAACGCATGCACAAAAGACAATCACTATTCCTACTGATCGCACTTTTATTGGAATTCTGTTAACTTTGAGCAAGCCCATGGGTAGGTCCACCATGATGTTCGGTTTGTTTTGTTTGTGTTTGTTTTTTATAAGTCTTATTTGTAATGTTAGAGCCTTTTATATCTGCGTATACTAGATTGTTCCTGACGTTTCTTTTTAAAGTTAGATCTAACTTTCTACTCTTTGTTCCCGTCATGCCATGAAACTGACACATAATAACTCTGAATGGATTATAACACTATTAAGGCGTTCAAATCGAAAATTTAAGATGAATATAACGGTTTATTTCAAGTTACGGGTTACTCCGTTTCATCTGTACTTGGATAATCACATGCTTTCCTCCAGACTAATTGTTTTTTACCAAAGTTTTAGCAAATCAGAGGGCACTTGAACTCGAGTCGAGAGGAGTTTGTTGTTGTTTTTTTTGTTTTTTGGGGTTGTTGGGTTTTTTTGGGGGGAGGGGGTCGTTTTCGTTGGGGATTTTTTCAGTCCTACCTTATAAAAGTGTTTATTAGTCAGAAAAGTACACAGATTGTCTTTTACGGTCTGAAACAGAACTGTGGCAAAGCTTGCAGATGGACAAACAGAAAAGAAAATGAAGCAGAAGTGCATTTATTCAGGCTATACTTATTCTGAGCTACTGCAAAAGAAGCAACCAGAAATTTGTTTTTTTTTGTACCTATTTAAATTAATTATCTGATTTGTATTTTGTCATACTGTTGTGTACTGTGAATATATATTTATTTCAAAGCAGGTAAACACAATTCCTTTGCCATATGTGTCACAATGTGGTGGAATCAGGCGCTCGTCAATTTTTGGGCATATGGAGATATTGGTATCACCTTAAAGCCTGTTCATTTGGCTTGCATTAAATTTAAAAAATTCTTTCTATCTTGAATAAGAGTAGAAGTGGGGATCATAGCGTGTAAACGTAGAATTAGCTTAAAAATGGCAGCCAAAGTTTGGTGACTTCCATTGACCAAGAGTCCTCGAAATCTGAATATTTACAGTTTTTACTACTTTAATCAACGTTTTTAGGTTTTAAAAAATCCACACAGAAATGTGTTTTTAAGGGGTGGG